GTCAAGACGTGGTGCGTCCACAAGCTTGAGGTCGCGAGTCATCGTCGGGCGCAGATTTGCGAAGATATTGTTGTCTCTGGTCATCTCTTTCGCTCTACCCTTCCGCTACGAGACAATTGATTTAATCACCGCAAGGGGACTGGCGACCGTGCACGACACCCTCGATAGATGCGACAGCCATGGCGCTTCTATCCGCGTGGAATATATTGCTTTTATTCGAGTGATTTGTGTACGTAAAAGCATATCCGACGCGAAAATAGGAAAGAATCGTTGGCTGCGAATTGTCATATTGATTAGCCATCCAATGCGCGCGTTCAAACTCGAGCGCACATTAGATGCGCCCGTTCTGGAGCCCGGGCAGCGGTACTAACGGCCTCGCGTGTCCGTACGTCGAGCCCGCGAATAGCGTGATCTTGTCGAGCTCCGACATGTCCGTGACTTGGCTGATGATCCCACGGTACTTGCTAATGTAAGCGAGTAGCCCACCGCACGACGTATGTGTGTTGTTGTAGAGCTGGTCGTGGAGCCGTTCTTTACGATCCGGCGGCTCAAACTCGCCGCGGAGAGCCAACTCAAACTCGCGCAGGGTCGTCGGCACCGTGCCCGTCGACGCCCGTTCGAGAAGCCACGTCGCGGCATTACCTTGCAAGTTGGCGTGCATCATTGCCAAGCACCGCGTCTCTGTCTCCGCGTCGAGTGTCGGCGTGATGTCCTTGGCGTGGAAGTACATGTGTTGACGCGGTGTATATACAAACTGACGCTCTCGTCCATCTCGCCGCTGTGCTCTGGCATGCGCAGTGCGTATTGATGGCTTGTTGTTGGAGGTTCATGGCCTGGGTCAGCTGGGCTAGCAAGTGCTGTAAATTGGCAGCAGCCATCGTGGATGAGATCAAACGCGCGCCGCGTTATCCGGTGGTCTCTTCCCGATATGCGGGACAAACCCGTCAACAAGCCGTAGGTCCCGTTGGCCTCCCGCTCTCGTGGGTTGAAAGGAAAAGGCAGGAGAAGCTCTTTCGAGACAACACCGGCACACCCGACGCGTACCTGATGAGACTTGCCACTCCTACCGCTTCTGCCCCAAACCACCAAATGTAGACTTTCGCCTTGTACGACGCTCGAGTGGGGCAATAGACGAATTGATTGCCCGCTAGCCATTGGGAGTGGCGTGGCGGGTTGGAATCAACAAGGCTAAATGCAAAATGACTATCTGGCCTACTGTCGACTCTTCGCTTTCCGGACGGGAAAAACTCAACTTCCTTGCTGCGCCTGGAAGTACCACATTTTGTAGCACCTGGCTTGAGGCGGAAGCGGAAGAACATATATTAATACTGGTAGGAACCTATGGTTACCGGTACTGCAAGAGTTCTTGCTCCCACATAACTCATGGAAGTTATGACCATTACTTTCACTTCCTCTCAACAAGAGGTTACCTGCCAGCCCATTCCGCAGGAACCTAGTACAGGGATCGAGTTGTTGCGCGTGCCGCTCTTGTGTGCTCTGCATAGGCACGCAATGTGCGTGCCTATGTGCTCCCCACATCTTCGCACAAAGGGCGCTGATGTTGTTCTATCCGAGAAGATCCTTCCTTGTATGGGCACCGGACAGTTATTCTTGAAACCATTGTACTAAAACCAACGCAATGCGAGTCCAGCCGACGGTGTCCGCCAACCCACGTGGTCGATGGCATTGGTCGTCGCTGCTGCTCGGTGGTCTCTGGCTCAGCGCCACGCTGGCTGCAAGTGTCTGCTACCTACGGCTGCTGCAGCCGCCGCTCGCCAACGACCTTCTTTGGCCGTACTACAACGCATCTGGGTACCAAACCTTCCTCATCGATCTACTGAATACGCTATTGGAGACGACGCCGGATACCTCCTCAGTCGACTTGCAGTCTGTGGCGCTCGAGGGACACTACGACAGTCTCTTGACCAGCGCTATTGTGCACCCGACGTACGCGATGGCGCTGCTCACGACCAAGCTCACAGCGCTCGAGTTTGCCATCACTAGTCTGCGCAACTTGTCGGAGAATGCCCAGCTGTTTCAACTGCCAACGCAGTACTGCTGGGTCGACTTTAACCAATCGTTCGAGCTCGCCCACACGGACGCTCGTCAAGCGCGCTGTCATCGTCAGTACGCTGCAAATGGCGCAGTGTACCTCGAGTCTCTCTTGCGCAACACCAACTGGAAAGCGGCTGTCGCAGCATCTGCGATCTCGACCAATTTCTGGTTTGCCATTGAGAGCGGCCTCGAAGCCTCAGCGATGGGCGCTCGCTGGCTCGACGCTGTCGCTGCCGTGACCACCTCGGTACAGGACGAAGCCACTGTCTGGCGATCGCATGGTATTGACAGCTATTCGTATCAGTGGCAAAACATCAAGCGGCCGGGACTCGTCGAGACGGCGACGCTGGTCAATGCTCTTGGCCTCCAGACTTCAGTTGTGCTCAAGAGTGTTGTCAGAACCAATGGGCCGTGGGTGATGTCGCTCTTCAGTCCCTCACTTCTCGATGATATTCGCCTTGTCAGTGGCTGCAACGCGAGTCTTCTTCGTGGCGCGCCACACTACGTCCTCAACACATTGTGCGACGGCCGCGTACCCGTCTCGTTCGAGTCGTTTCTCGAGTCGCTTCTCCAAATGAGTCCGTTCTTCCGCCCGATTGGTATGATTCGCGACGCCCTTGGGCCACTCCTTTCAAGCGATCTCCACGTCGTGCCCATACCAGAGTCTCTCGTTTCTCTGAGAGCCGACCGCGTCACCGCGCTGTACGGCGCCTGGAACGCATCGACCGCAGACATGTACTCGACTCTCGAAACGGACTTGCGCGTGACGCTAGTGCCGCCCGCGTGGTCGACGGACCTCGTATTTTACGGCGGGAGTCCTTTTTGCCTGTATGGCGCACCACAGACGTATGTGCAACCGCCGTTTACATCGACCGACGACTGCTCCACGCAGTCCGAATGGACGGTGGCGATACCGCGGCCATCTCTTGTCATCGCGATGTCTTTGGTCCACGACTCGATCGACGCGATTTGCGCGCAGCAGTCGCGCCGAGTCTGTCCCGAGACGCTACTCGCCGCGCAAAAGCTCTTGCCGCACCGACAGATCGACCCGGTTTTGCTTCAGAACGCAACCACAGCCGTGGCGTCGCTCAACATTAGTCTTATGCAGTTTGCCTCGGATCCAGCTCAAACCGACGTTCGAATGCTAGTCCAGCCACTACTCGAGCCACCTTTCACCTTTTACGGATGGGTGCTTCTCTTGGATTGGGTCGCTGGCGTTCGTGAAGTCGTCTCGTATGAAGGCGACAACGGAACGCTTGTCTTGATCTCGGACGCCTACGACATATCGTCGACAACTCCCAACAGCGCGACGCTCGGGACGTCGTCGATTGGGCTCTACTACCTCATCTTGTACTCGGCCTGTGTGCTTGGCGCGCTTGCCATCTCCACGCTCGTCGCGTCGTTGGTCTTGCGGCACGGTGTCTTGGGCAGCAACTTCTGGGTCTTCAACCGTGTCGCTGGCTCGACGTGGCTCGGGCGGCCATTGCTTTTGCTGCGCGGAAGCAGTGCGATCGTGCTTCTGAGCTCGGCACCCATTGGCCTCTTACAGCCTTTCAATGTGTTTGCTCAGTTGGCGCTGCCACGACGTCCGATCTGGGAGACGTGCGTCATTGCGTGGGAGGCGACGTGGGTGAGCTACGTGGTTCACGAGCTGCTGCTGCCGCTGCGGCCACAACAGGCTCGGATTTTGGGGACATTCGGCACGTCGTTGACGTGGCTATCTACGGTGCTCATGGACGTTGGCTGGCCCATCTCGGTGACAGCGACTGTCAACCGAGAGTGTGTCATCGTCGAGGCGTACGACATCATGCGCTGCGCAAGCGTCGTCATAGAGACAGGTGACGGACAGCGGCTGCTGCTTTTGAGTGTGCTTCAGATTCTTCTTTTGCCATGTCTCTGGCTCTGGAATGGCCTTGGCTGTGGACGTCGTGAAGCCAGATCCCAGTACACAGATGCGAGACTCTCTCTTGTGGGTCAAGTCTTTTTCACTCCGCGTCCTCAGCTCGATACGATTGAGCAACTGGCATCAGGTCTTATCCCTCTTCGTCGGTCATCGTCGTTTGACCTCAAGCTCTGGCGCCTCCTCGATACATCTCCGACGGCGGAAATGGTCGGAACAATCGGACGGAAGCCAGCACACAAAAAGTCAAATCGATGGGTTCCGCGGGCATGGGTTGTGGCGGGCACGATATACGTGGCTGCCGCTATCTACAGCAGTGTCTCGTACCTCGGACTTACCCAAGGGATCTTGACCAACGACTTGATCTGGCCCACCTTCAACATGACGGGGTCACACAGCTTTCTCGCCAACTGGTTCAACGAGCCGTTGCGTATGCTCGGCGCAGTTGGGTCGCCGATAGCACTCACCAACACCAACAGCATCAACGCTCTCGAGCTGTTCAACCTGTCGCAAGCGTCCGTCGCCTTTCCCATCCAGCAAGGCGCCAGAGTCCAGTACTCCACCCTAACCACTCTTCACGACGCGATCTCGAGCCTCCGTACTTTGGATGGCTGTGACGGTCCGTGGGTCTTTACGCAGTATTGCTACCTCGACTTTGATCAAAAATGGGAAATGGCCAACTCGGCCAAGCGCCAAGAGCGATGCAAGTCGATGGTCAACAACGGCGCCGTCTTTCTCGCTTCTCTGCTTCGGAATCTCGAAATCTCAACGTGCTGGAGCGAAGAATTTGAGATTGGGTTTGGCTCCGAGTTGCGTGAATCTACGGCAGGACAAGCTTTGTTGGCTTCATTTACGCCTCCGTACCTCTCGATCGACGACGAAGTGTCTTATTGGACATCAAAGAATATCTCGTCGTACGTGCTGCAGTGGCAAAACTACAAGTCGATCGGTCTTCTCCACTCGTACAATATTTTCAATGCGTATGGCGTCGTGTATCCCTTCTTGCTGCAGTCCACCGCGGGTTACTATCGTAAGGAGAGCCAGACATCGTTCAAAATGTACTGGTCGCTCGCCAACGATCTCGGCAGTCTCCTCAAAAACACATCGACCATGGGTGGCAAGAGTCTCCTCCGGTCCAGCAGTCGATTTGCTTTTCAAAATGCATCACTACAAGATATTCTGGTGACTGAAACGGTGTTGCCACCTTGGCCGTGGAGTGCCAACTATAAGCTGATGTCGTCGTATCTTGGGCCATTTGGATCGATCGACATGGTCTACGTCAGCGTCCCGTCGGTCTTGCAAGAGGTGATATCTGGCTTCAGCACGGCGGTGACGAAAGTCCGGCTCCTCAATCCAGTGCAGTATGAAGCAACTGCGATGCCCGATGGAGTGGCTGCGAAGCCACAAAAGTGGAAAGATCGACGAGCTCTTCTCGGCTCGGTTCTGTGTCCCGACCAGTCTGTGCTCGGTTTGAACGGCATTGCCTCGCTCTTTGGATTGGACGTGTTTGATGGCACCTGCTCTTTCTATCGGCCTGGGGGGACGCTGGTACCCTCCCACACACAAAATGTGTTTGCAGTGTACACCGCCAACCTCTCGACGACCACCAACTTCTCGGCAATCTGCAAGCTCAATGTACTTGACTACGGGTCAAAATGTTCCCGTGCACTTTCGTCGGCGTTGGCTTTTGTGAATCTGCTCCCAGTGCTACCCGATGCGCGTCAATCACTCTACGCTGCAATCCATGGTCTACGCGTCGAGTGGAGTCAATTTGGCCACAGCAAAGACGCCAACGCTTCAATCGAACTCTACCATCTTCCAGTGCTCGACCCATCAGACCCAGCATTTGACTACTTTGCGTGGCTCTTCTTGTATGATTGGGCCATCGGCAACCGAGAAGTCATCTCGTTCCATGGCGACCTCAACACCCTAACCCTCATGGGCGACACCTTGCCTCAGTTATCACAACCTGTTGACGCGGCGCAGCTGCCAACTGGCTTTGCTCTCTACATGTTGCAGGCCATCCGATACATCACTTGCGTCTTGATCATGCTCGCTGCCGTGACGTTTGTGTATATTCTTCTGGCCCGTGGCCACGTCGAGGGTCTCAACATGTTTGAAATGAGTCGCGTCGGCGGCATTGTCTGGGTCGGTCGACCATTGGTCGTGGTCCGGAGTATCACGGCTCTCTGTCTTCTCTCGACCGCCTCGATTGAGCTCCAAACTGACGGTGTCTTCAGCTACTTTGTCACGACACCCGTCCCGCTCTGGACGACGTGCCTCGCAGCGAATGAAGTCACGTGGCTTGTTGGCATCGTCAACGACATCTCGCTCGTCTGGACGCAAGACCACACGATCGCGTACGCCACCATCAACAGTCTGCTCATGTGGCTCATCTCGGCGCTGCTGGCGACACTGGCGCCGGTCCAGGCCACCATCACAGTATCTCCAGTTTGTGAGATTGCTACATTGGACTACCAAGTGGTGTGTGTGGCAGGCAGTGTCGTGATTGGTTCACTACAACGACTTTTGACGCTGGTGGGTCTGGTGCTAGTCTGCAACGGCGTCTGCTTTGGTCTGGTGCGCTGTCTCTGGAAGCGGCCGCAACCACTTCAGAGCTCGTCGATGCTGCTCTGTGGCGGGGCCAAGTACCTCTTTAGTCACGACGGCTGGCTGGACGAGGATGGAACGTACTTTTTGGACCGCGCGTCGGCCGTTCTCAATGGGCTACTGAGTGTCCGGTATCAAAATCGGTGGATCGTCTTTGACGTCAAGACGTGGTGCGTCCACAAGCTTGAGGTCGCGAGCGATCGTCGGGTGCGAACTTGCGAAGACATTGTTGTCTCTGGTCGTCGCTTTCGCTATACCCTTCCGCTACGAGATTGACGCAGCGCTTCTGGGTCGTCTCATTGAGACGTTACGGATAGCGGTTTACAGTCCTGGCTTTTTGCACAAATTTTCACAATGCCAAGGCCATCATTTGACTTTGATATCACTTGCTCTATTGTTAATGGAATAG